CCTCCAGCTTCCCATGTGGGCGTCCAGTCCCCGCCCCCCACAGAGTACTCTGACCCCGCCCCCGCGGGCTGCTTGCTACCCCGCCCGTGCCCGCACCCGCTCCCTGTACGTGGGGCGTCAGGCCCCGCCCTCTCCGGGCGCGCTCCCGGCCCCCTCCCCCGGTCACCTGTCCCGGAGACCCCGCGGCGTCCGCGACTCCGGCTTCGTCGGCCTCCGCGTCCGCAGCTCCCGGGCCGCGCGCGTCACTTCCCCCCCCGCACCACGTGAAGAGTTGCACTGAAGCGGGTCACTTCCGGTCCTGCCGGCCGTTTCCGAGAGCCTTAAAGGCGCCGCGCCCCCCCGGGTGAAGGAGGGAGTGGTTTGAGCCGGTCCGCAAGGGTGTTCAAGGCTGTTCTGGAAGCTTGTGTTACTGCTTTATGCCTGAATTACCTTCTTCCACGGAAAGGAGACACCATCCCCTCTCTCTGGCCTCTATCTGCTTCTCTCTGGTTCCAATAAATAGATGCCAGGAACTGGGCAATGACTCCTGGAAGCCTGACCTGCCAGCTTGTGCTGGGGGTGGATGGGGGATGCCCCACCCTCCTGCCAATGGAACCTTACAGTTAGTTGTGGGAGCTTAAAATTTTCAACGGAAAGAATCGTTTCTTCATCCTCTAAATCAGAGTTGAGTGACAGGCTGTGTGCTGGGGGGTGGGGGGGTGAAGCGTGTTAAGGTGATGAAAAGGTAGACCCTATCCCTGTCCTTGTGAGGGAAGGCACAAGTACACGTGAAATAACAGAAAACAGAAATGTGGGCGATGTCTTGCAACAAGGACTGGAGGAGAGGCTGAGGGTGAGAAGGGTGGCTGTCCAGGCAGAGGGCACACAGCCCGTGCAAAGGCCCTGTGGTGAGTGAGCTTGGTGCATTCTAGGAACTGAAAGACGCTCAGAGAAGAACCTACTGAATTTGGCTACGTGCATTAATCAAAACTTAGACATAATTAATCTATTTTTATAAGTGATGCTAAATGTTATGGAACACCCTTACAGGAGGTGATGACACTTATAAGTGGGCAGACCAGGTTCCCTGAGGTTGCTGATAATTTTATTTTGTGATTTAAAGCATGAAAAGGGGAAGTACCTTGCCCCTTATGTGGTTACGGTTAACAGCCTTTCAGAGACCTTCTCTACACATACAACTTAATTCTCTTAAAATTCCCCAGGAATTCTCTGGCAGTCCAGTGGTTAGGACTTGGCACTTTCACTGCTGGGGCCCAGGTTCAGTCCCTGGTCAGGGAACTAAGATCCCACAAGCCATATGGTGCGGCCACAAAAATAAATAAATAAGTAAATAAATAAATATAAAATTCCCCAAATACCTGCCAAATTCAGGACACCCTTGCTTCAGCTCTTTATTCAAATGTCACTTCCACTTCGGGGCCTCCCTTGAAACCACCCATTTGACAATTTCGAAATCTCTCATTCTTTCCTCTTCCAATTTTATTCCCCCATGTTACTGTTTACCCTCTAAACTACCATGTTTCACTCGCTTCTCTTGTTCACTGTCTGTCTCCTCCACTATATTGTCTGTTTTATGTCCCCAGTGCCTCCAACTGTACCTGATACATAAGAAAGCTCTCAAAACCTATTTGTTTAGTGAAACTTTTTTTTTTGGCCGCACTGTGCGGCTTGTGGGATTTTAGTTCCCTGACCGGGTATCGAGCCCAGGCCCTCGGCAGTGAGAACACAGAGCCCTAACCACGGGACCACCAGTGAATTCCCTGAGTGAATCTTTATTACTACTATTTTCTTCCTTTTATATAAACAAAAAGTATGTGTACTGCACTGAAATTCTATACCTTGAACTTAACAATGGATGGTTGGCCACCTTTTAAACTGCCATGTGATGTTCTATCCCAGAGATGAGCCATAATTTGGCCCAACTGGTCTTGTGGACCTTCGAGTTGTTTCCAACTGGGGAGGTTGCCAACAATGCCGTATTGAATTTCTTTTTCTAAAAACTTTTTATTTAGTTAGTTAATTAGTTAGTTGCACTGGGTCTTAGTTGCAGCATGTAGGATTTTCATTGCCACGTGTAGGATCTTTAGTTATGGCATGCAGGCTCTTAGTTGTGGCATGCGAGATATAGTTCCCTGACCAGGGATTGAACTTGGGCCCCCTGCATTGGGAGCATGGAGTCTTAACCACTGGACCACCAGGGAAGTCCCCACATTGAATTTCTATAGGCACATATCTTTACAAGTATATGATCTGTGACCTTGCTCAAAAAGGACTCACAGGGGCTTCCCTAGTGGCGCAGTGGTTGAGAATCTGCCTGCCAATGAAGGGGACACGGGTTCGAGCCCTGGACTGGGAAGATCCCACATGCTGCAGAGCAACTGGGCCCGTGAGCCACAATTACTGAGCCTGCGCGTCTGGAGCCTGTGCTCCGCAGCAAGAGAGGCCGTGATAGTGAGAGGCCCGGGCACCGCGATGAAGAGTGGCCCCCGCTTGCCACAACTAGAGAAAGCCCTCGCACAGAAACGAAGAACCAACACAGCCATAAATAAATAAATAAATAAATTTAAATCAGATGGGCTTTAAAAAAAAAAAAGGACTCACAATGTCATGATTAACACTCTGAAGCCAGGAGACTTCCCTGGTGGTGCAGTGGTTAAGAATCCGGGGACACGGGTTCAATCCCTGGTCCGGGAAGATTTCACATGCCTCGGAGCAACTAAGCCTGTGTGCCACATCTACTGAGCCCACGTGCCGCAATTACTGAGCCCACGTGCTGCAACTACTGAAGCCCCTGCGCTCTAGAGCCTGTGCTCCGCAACAAGAGAAGCCGCCACAATGAGAAGCCCACACACCACAACGAAGAGTAGCCCCCGCTCGCTGCAACTAGAGAAAGCCTGCTCACAGCAACGAAGACCCAACGCGGCCAAAAATAAATTTTAAAAAAAGGCGGGGGGGCTTCCCTGGTGGCGCAGTGGTTGAGAGTCCGCCTGCCGATGCAGGGGACATGGGTTCGTGCCCCGGTCCGCGAAGATCCCACATGCGGCGGAGCGACTGGGCCCGTGAGCCACGGCCGCTGAGCCTGCGAGGCCGGAGCCTATGCTCCGCAACGGGAGAGGCCACAGCAGTGAGAGGCCCGCGTACCGCAAAAACAAAAAATGAACAGAGGCGGGC